TTTGATACTTGGTACCAAAAAAACAGAGACAGGGTTGGTCTTGTCCCAACCCTGACAGTATGTGAGCCTTCTCAGAACATTCAGGTTCTACACACACACACACACACACACACACACACACACAACTGTGTGCAGGGGCTGGGGATTTAGCTCAGCGGCAAAAGCGCCTCCCTGGCAAGCGCAAGGTCGTGAGTTCGGTTCCTGGTACCAGAGAAAAACCAAAAAAAAAAAAAAAAAAAAAAAAAAACACAACTGTGTGCACACACTTTGATTAAGTTGATCATGGAAGGGAGAAGAATTAATCAAGTCTAGACTGATTTTTTCTTCCCATTTTCCCTTTCCTCCTCCCTTACCTTGTCTTCCTCCTCCTTCTCCTCTTCTTCCATCTCGTTTTTCTTCTCCTCCTCCTCCTTCTTTCTAAGTACTGGGATTGAACCCAGGGCCTTCACATTGAGCTATATCACTAGCCCTTTTTAATACTTTTCTTTTAAACAGAGTCTCACTTAATTGCTAAGCTGCCTGGGTTGGGTTTGAGCCTGTGATCCTCCTGCCTCAGCCTCCCTAAGTGCTGGGATTACAGTACACCACCATCCTCAGCTTTATTTTCTTTTCTAGTGCCATTTTTACACTTCTGATTTTTAAATGTAAAATACCATAGAAGGTTCTGCATCCATAAAATGGTAAACATAAAATATATAATGATATCTATATAGCGATATCACAAGCAGATTGCCGTGAAATTAAATGAAGTCATTACAGTAGTTTCCCTGATCCTTAAAGCATGGGGTTATAGCACAAGATCCCTGTTGAATGCCTGAAACCACAGACAACATCAAAACCTGTACATGCTTGTTCTTAGGCTGTACATACACACATATGATAAAGTTCAATGTAAATTAGATCCAGCAGGAAATTATAAACAATAGCAATGATAATGAATAGAACATCTATACTAATAAACCCCTCATACCATAGTTTAGGTAACAAACTTTAAAAAAGACAAACCTTGGATAAGGGGGGACTACTATGTATGTAAACACTTGGAACAGTGCCCGGGATAGAATCACTATACTAGCTGTTATTAGGATTATCAACATTATTTTTACACAATTTCACCATAAAAATTGGAAAAGTAAATAAAATATTAAAAAATATTTGTGATTTATGGCCCCATTCACATGACTACTGCCATGGAATAACAACTGTTTGCTTTTCAGTCCTGGTGGTGGACCCAGGTCTCATACATTTTAGGCAAGCATTCTGTCACTGAGCTACATCCTCAGCCCTGCAGTAATAGCTATTAAGAGTTTAGTATTTTAGTATACATGTTTCCAAATCCCCCCCCCGTCTCTTCCTCCATATCCTCATACGTGTGTAACAAATGTAGTGAGTGCTGTTTTTCTGTTTTTTGTTTTTTTTTTTTTTTTTTTCATCTTTGGCCTGACTTAATGCATTACATTCAAATCCAGACCATTGGTAATTATTGTAGATTTTACAGAATGCTTTGAACGAAGATAGAATATGATACCCTACTTCACACTGTAAATGTTATCACAATGCTTTAAGCCTTCCATTTTCCCCCTAAGTCCCTCTTCCTCTGGCAATGCTTCTCCTGTCTCTCCTGCTTATTCATTTCCTACACAGCCACTCCAGTTGGGGCCCCCCTTACAACTTCATTTAACTTTGTATAAAGTACCTCCCTAAAGACATTATCTCCAAATAACTTCTCATTAGGGGTTAGGGCATCAATCTATCAATTTTGAGGGGTGCCCAACTCAGTCCACAATAGCTACCAAACACCACAGTCAAGATGATTACATATTAGCAAAGCAGATGATTTGTTTCCAATAAAGATATCATTATAGGCTGTAATATTACATGTTTATAAAAAGAGACATTTGTGGGACACACATGCACAGAACTATAGAACTTCTTAATAAAGTCTTTCCAAATACTTACCTTGAAAATGTTTACCCATATCTTTCACCATGCACTAAACTAAATTCAAAATGGAGCCAAGATCTAAATATTAAAATAGAAACATTAAATCTGCTGGAAGATAGAATAGGTAAAACTCTTGAAGACATTGGTGTAGGCAAAGATTTTATGAATAAAACCCTGATCACACAGAAACTATCACAAAAGCTCAACAACTGGGATCTCATCTTATTAAAAAGCTTTTGCACAGCAAGAGAACCACCAACAGGGTGAAGAGACAACCCACACTGTGGGAAAAGATGTTTGCCAGCTGCTCTTCAGACAAAGGATTACTATTGTCTTAGTTACTTTTCTCTCATTGCTGAGACAAAATATCCAACACCCAAAATTAAGGAAGGAAAGGTTTATTTAGCTTACAGTTTGTGCAGGTTTCAGTCCATACTTGGCTGGCTCCAAGGCAGAGTGGCACATGGCAGAGGAAAACAGTTCATGCAGAGGAACAGCAAAGCAACAAGAGCAAAAGGGAGGAGCGGCAGAGAAGAGCAAGCCTCTTTTCCTCTTTTATATTGTAAGCAGGCTGCCCCCACCCAGGGGGCGTGTAGCACTCACATAACCTCCATGCCCTCCTCTTGCACAGGCTCAGGATGAATACAAAGTAAGCACCCTGGCTCCTGCTGAGTCACATAGTTAACCTTCTAAACTTCTCAAACTGACACAATGAACAACATCCCAGAAAGGTAAAGGTATGTACTTTTCACCCCAAAATGCAGAACTGCTGAGTCTCTTAGCCAAACCACTAGACTCCCCAAGTTGACAGAATGTATTAACCATAACAACTGTCAAGAACATATAAAGAACTCAAAAAATCATACCTCCCAAATTCAAAGACCCAGTCCAAAAATGTGCATCTGAGATGAATATACACTTCTCAGATGAAGAAATACAAACAGCAAATAAATATATGAAAAAATGTTCAATATCACTGACCATTTGAGAGATACAAATTAAAACAACATTGAGATTCCATCTCACCCCAGAAAGAATGGTTGCCACCAAGAAATCAACCAATAACAAATACTGGAAGGGCTGTGGTATGAGGATCCTTTTCCACTGTTGGTGGGAGTGTAGACTGGTGCAACCATTGTGGAAACCTGTGTGGAGATTCCTCAAAAAACTAGGATTAGAGGTTGCATTTGAGCCAGGTATTCTCCTGCTGTGTATTTTCTCAGAAAAATTAAAAACATTATACCACAGCCATATACATGCACCCATGTTTATAGCAGCACAATTAAACAACCCAAATGCCCATCAACTGAAGAATGGATAAAAAAAGATGTGATCTTTTTATATAATGGAGTACTACCCAGCTATAAAGAAGGATAAATTGGAGATATAAGTAAATGGATAGGTAAATGGATGTAACTTGAGACCATACTCCTAAGTGAAATAATTCAGACTCACGTGTAAACAGTATATTATCTCTCTAGTGTGAGAAGCTAAAAGAGGAAATAAGATCAAATGTACAATAGGTATTGTGAAATGGGAAGAAACTGTTCAAAAAGAAAGAGAAACTGGGAATGGGGGAAGGGAGAAAAGAAGGAAGGGAAAATAACAACACAAGGGGCTGGGGATTTAGCTCAG